GTGTACTGTCCCTTTTTAATAATTTGGGCCTTTATTTTTATATTGTCTGATATAAATACATGCACAACAGCTTTATTTCTATAAGAATTTGCTGACATTTTGTTTTTTTAAATATTCAATTATCTGTGCCACTATATCCAGTCTAACAGTAACTGTCCTGTCTTAAAGTAGATTAATCATAGCTTTATTGGGATCACTGATAATACTTTTATATTTTAAAATTTTTTTCTTTCTTTCTTTTTTTTTTTTTTTTTTTTGAGATGGAGTTTCGCTCTTGTTGCCCAGGCTGGAGTGCAATGGTGCATTCTCGGCTCACCGCAACCTCTGCCTCCTGGGTTCAAGCGATTCTCCTGTCTCAGCCTCCCAAGTAGCTGAAATTACAGGTATGTGCCACCATGCCTGGCTAATTTTTTATATTTTTAGTAGAGACACGGTTTCACCATGTTGGCCAGGATGGTCTCGCTCTCTTGACCTCATGATCCACACACTTCAGCCTCCCAAAGTGCTGGTATTACAGGCATGAGCCACCGCGCCTGGCCAAAACCTTTCACTTGTGTTTTGCTTTTCTTCATTTTCTTTCTTGCCTTCCATTGGCTATATAAAGCCTTCTTTATTCTGTTTGTTTTCTCATTCTGGTTTGGAAGTTATCAAATATACTTCTTGTATATGTGTGATTATCTTTAAAATTTTAACTTGCTCATCAAACTTCATATGGGCATCTCTCACTCATATTAGTGAGCCCAAAACCAAATGTACTGCATGAAAATGCTGACTGTGAACCTAGTTCCATTATTTTTCTGAACATTGACACATTATACTAGTTTTCTATTTACTTTTATAACAGATTATTACAAACTCAGTAGCTTAAATGGTATAAATTTATTGTCTTACAGTCTGGAAGCAATATAAAATGAGTTTCAGTGGGTTAAATCCAAGCTGTTGACAGGGCTGTGTTTCCTTCTAGAAGCCATGGAAGAAAATGTTTCCTTGACTTTTCCAGCTTCTAGAAGCACCCACATTCCCTGGCTCACAACTTCTTCCTTCATTTCCTGCCTTACCGTCTTCTTTTGTGTTTAGATACATTTTTTCTTGTAGTGAAACATTTAAATTTATTTCTCATTTCATTTTGTGTATATTCTGTAACCAGCTTTTGGTTATCTTGTGAGTACATTTACCATCCTAAAGTTATAATACTCTAATTTGAACTTAGGCTATCGTAAGTTAAATAATGTCCAAAAATATGTCCTTTTAACAACTTTGTCTACACTGTTCAGTTGCTGATATCACAAAACTATATTTACATACATTGCTGCCCAAAAACATAAGCTAATCATTTTTATGCATTAGTTTCTGAAATTATATAGCAAACAATGTGAAGTTACAAATCAAGGTGACCATAATCTAGCTTTTAGGCTAATAATTATTTTTTTTAATGTGTTAGTCTTGTAAATCATGTAGAAAGCAAAAAGTGGAGTTAAATAACTAGCTTTTGTAATTGTCCATGCACTTACCTTTACTGAGAACTTTACAGATTCTTTAGGCTTCATTCACTTTTCTTGAATTTTCCCTTTCTGTTCCTCAGATTCAATAATTTATGGTGCTTTATGTTCATAAATTCTTTCCCTACCTGCTCAAATCTGCCCTCTAGTAAATTTTTTGAGTTACTACACTTTTCAGGTCCAAAATTTCTTTTTGGCTTCTTTTTAGGTTTTTAATGTCTTTATTAATATTTTCATTTTGTTCATACATTGTTTTCTTGACAATTTTATGCCCTACTTTAGTTATTTGAGTGTCTCTAATACAAGTGTTTTGAATTTTAAACTATTCCTTGTAGCTCTGCCATCAGGTCTTTTCCAGGGACAATTTCTGTTGGCTCATTTTTTTTTAAATCTTTGAGTGGACCATATTGTCCTGCTTCTTTGTATGCCTTTTGATTTTTTTTTATCAAAAATTACATATTTGAATCTAATAATGTGTTAACTCTGAAAATCATATTTTCATCCTTCCCCATGCTTTGCTACTTTAAAAAATTGGTGTAGCTTGTATCTTTGCCAAGGATTATCCTGACATATAAACTTAAACATCTTCTTGGGTCTTTTCTGAGTCTCCGTTTTCCTCTGGACATTTGTAGTGATTCCCTAATTTCCCCCCATATTTCAGCATTTTAGATGTGAAAGTAAATATATAGCTGCTCCTTATGTTTGGAAGAGTGGATTTACAATGTATATATTTGTGGCAAGTTGTATATCTGTTGGGCGCATCACTTACATAGAGAGAACACCAAGCAGGCTTCGTGTGGGCAATGAGGTTGTTTCACTTCATGCTTGGGTGCAAGCAGGCCAAGTCCAAAAAAGGAGTTAGGCAAGGGGAGTAGGAAAGGGGACTGCTTACATAGGTCGGGGCAAATGGTCAGTTAAAGGTGGTCATCTATTTTGGAGAAAGGAAAGGGGTCACCCAATGCATGGTCACAAGGGTAGGGCTACCTATTACAAGCAGGCATGATCATAAGGGTGGGGGTTATTGGTTGCAAGCAGAGGGGAGGGTACAGTAGATTCCATAGTTACGAGGGTGGGAATCTTGAGAAACCTAATGTCTAGGGGGAAGCTTTGAAAGGCTGAGCAGGAACAATGGTCGAAGTCTGCAGAGGGAGAGCAGTCAGTTGAGGCAGGAACCAGTCTTTGTGGCCATCTGGTTACTTCGGACTTTCTGGCTCCTGAAGACCATTAGGAGGTAAACCATAGCTGTGTGACCAAGGCTATGATGGCCAGGCTTGGATTTGGAGGCTTGACAAAAACTACATCTTCTTTGGTAATAGTTTTTTAAAATAAATTTGTGGCACATTAGAAAAAATATTTTGAAGCAAAATTGCTTTTTAGTTTGTATTCTCTAAACACCAGAATTTTACTTTGAAGGATTAAAAACTTACAAGAATATTCATACCTGACCTATAAAATAAGTAACTTAGATGGAATAATTTGAATTTAGAAATTTCTTTATGCACTAAATTTGAAGTATCAATGTCATTTTATTCTTATGGATTTTCCTTAAAACATTATATTCATTATATTGGGTACTGAAAAGAGTTCAGACCCTTTATGAAAGGATGATTTTAGTGATGCAACTTGTGTATGAGGTAGATTGGGAAGCACTGACTCTGCCCATTAACTAAGAAGATTTTATGAAACAATTTGTAACAGGGCCACAGTAAGTTCCGGAAGTGTGGTCAGGCATGCCTCCTTCCTCACAGGGCCCACAAGAAGCTTTCAGGGTTCTGGGAGAAAGATGCCCAGGGTGCAGAGGCTGTCACAAGGAAATAAGGGCCAGGGTGGGGAATCCAGCACAGGGGGCCTGGCCTCACAGGGGAGTTGGAGAAGGTTTTCTGAGGAAGCTGTGTCCAAGCTGAGATCCTTCCCATTCCATGTGCTCCAGTGCAAGGCCTGCAGGAGCTCCATGAGCAAGGCCAACCAAGAGGAGCCAGGGGGATTCCCTTGGCAGTGAGGGAAGGGCATGGCCTGAGGAGCTGAGGGCAGTCTCAGAAGGATGGCATCAGAGGAACTCTCACTGTTTCTATTATCAATGCTTACAGTTTTGTATCTGCATGGGGGTTGTGACTGGGTGATATGAGGAAGGGTCTGTCAGAGGGTCAAGGGTTTGCTCGAAGTTGGACGCTGTCTGATGAAGGAGGCTTGTCTCTAAGTTGGGCACTGTCTGATGGAGGAGGCTTGTTGCAAAGTTGGATGCTGTCTGATGGAGGAGGCTTGTCCATTGTTCGATGTGTCAAGGAATCTTACCTAGAAGAAGGCAGAGGACCACCGGGAGAAAGCTGTTGCTGGTAATGAGTTAGATGCCGCTCAATTAACCAAGTGAGAGCAGTGCTTGGTATTTTAGCGGGTGATAAAGTGACCTTGATATATTTTCTCTTGGAGGTCTCTGTTAGAGTCACTGTGGGGTGGGGGGGGGGTCTCCGTGGGGATCTCCATGTTGGTTTTGAAGGTCTCTGTGTGAGTCTCTGTCAGGAGTTTCTCTGGGGGGGATTCCTCTGGGGGGTCTTCATGGGGGGCCTCAGTCAGAATCTCTGTTAGGGACTCAGGGGGTCACTGTGGGGAATCTGAAAGTCTCTGTGAATATGGGGGTCTCTTTGGGGGTCTCTGTGGGAATCTTCAAGTGTGAGGCTCTACATGGGGTCTCTGTGGGATTCCTCTGCTGCAGGTCTCAGGACCCTGTGTCCCATAGATACTGGGCCCACACTGGAGCTGCCCAGGTCACCATCCCAGACAGAAATTGTCTCCAGCAGTAGCCTGGGCACCCAAAGGGACACCAGAGCCTGTTCCCAACAGGTGCCCTGCATGGGCCCCACCAGGCCCCCTGCATGGGTCCCACCAGGCCTGGGGACATGCCTGTCCCCTTGTCCTCAGCCTCCCTAACCCCTGCAGATATAAGGCGCTCCCTGGCAGAAGGCCCCCAGGCACAGCCCTCTGGGGAACTAGCTCCTGCCTGCCCAGCCCTTGCTCCTGCTTGCCCTGGGGATGCCCAGGAGGGACCAGAACCAGGATGGAGTGGGTGCAGGACCCTGCCCTGTGGGGACTGTCCTGCCAACCATGTGACCAGATTCGTTGAGGCCCCATGTGTTCCCTGACAGCACCTGGGCCTGGAGCCATAGATGTGCTGTGTGACCCAGGCCAGCCCTTGCCTTCGGGGTCCCCCTCCCCTGGGAGTGGCCCTGGCCACTTTTGATTATAGTGGTCACCAGAGTGCAAGGACCCTGGTTACAGCAGCAGGCAGCTTGTGGATCCTGCACTTGCAGACTTATGTTCATCTTCCCTGCTTCTTCTCCCACCTCCCACCCTGGGCTTAAGGTCCCCTTCGGTGGTTCCTGACCACAGAGTCACGCAGGGGCAGGCAGCAGCCCTGGGTGCCCCTGACATGCCAACCCACACTCATTAGTGGGCTGGGAGGCTTATCCTGGAGGCCTCTCTGGAAAGTGAGTCGGGACACCAGACGCGAACACAGGGGTGTTATCAAGGCTGAGCCACGTGCTGGTGGGGCCCCAGTCCATCCCGGAATGAGCAGGAAGGGAAGGGCCTAGGGAAGATGTCATCTCTTCCCCACCAGGAGATCGGGGAAGGAACTGTCCCGCCTCTGACCCAGGACCAATACAGGACACCCCCACATTCCCAGGCTACCACGGGTCAGGGAGGCTGCTGCCCATCACTTCTCCAGCCTGAGGGAGCCCACCACCCCCTCAGTCCGTGAGGCCTCTACAGACCCAGCCCCTACAGCAGCTCAGAAGTCACCTTAGTGAGAATGGGGGATGCAGTCAGCTGGAGCCCAGGCGGGGTCTCTATAGGGTTTGCTGTCCTTCAAAGGCTCTGGGTCATGATCCAGTTTGGAAAACAGACACACTGTGGGGACAGGGAGAAGAGGGGGTCCCTCATGTCCCTGTCAGCCTCCTCCAGGCCCAGCCCTTCTGGAACTCATTCTCAGAAGGAGTGGATGCTGAGCCCTTTCCTGTACCCTAGACAGAAGCCACCACCTGTGCAGGGAAAGCAGGTGTGTTGGGAACCTCTCCGCGAAAGTCATGAACACGTGGGGGCTGTAATCACCCACGCGGGACAGGTTTGTTCTATAGGTGTCCAGTTTAATTTGAGTAGAACCCACTGTCTCCACCAGGAGAGGTGTGAGAAGCCTGGTCTGGTTCAGCAGAACCTCAGTTTCTGCGGCTGTGGATGGGGCTGCCTGAGGTGATTGCCACCCGTGGCGTGTGGTGGTGGTGACCAGCTGGGGACACAGGCTCCTTGGAATGTGGGGTCCAATTACTGTCTCTGCTGCTCCTGCTTTTGACAGGACAGTCATGGCCCTTGGGGGTGGCTTTGGGGCTGCAGGTCAGAACACACAGCTCTCTGCTATGTTCTTGGTGGCCGTAACCTCTGTGGCAGCAGGAACACAGATTCTCCTGGGAATGGAGGTCGCCTTTGTGGTAATTGACCTTTGAGGGACCATGTCCCTGCTGAAGCCCCAGTTTGCCCACCAGGATTTGTCCCACAACTCTGATGATAGCCCGGGCCTCATCAGCCATGCTGTCCACGAACAACCTTGCTGGGCCAGACTCGAGGCTCTGGACACGGTCTGACCCAGGCCTGCCTTTCTGCAGAACATCTTCCTGCCCTGCACCTCTTTTCCTGGGGGGTAGACCCTGTAGAGGGTGGCTGATCTGTCTCCGGAAGTTGCTTTGTGGTGGTGCCTGTCCCTTCTCCGGCTGAGGGTGGACGTATATCCCTTCTTGTTTGTCTCCTATTTCCCTGGCGTGGGCAGGGTGGCTCCTCCCACTGGCTTCTGAGGTCCTGGGTCTCTTGGTCCTGTGTCCCGGCTCCCCTGATCTGGGCCTCCTATGGGCCTCGCCCTTGTCTGCAGAGCCCAGCGCCTTCTGGCTCTTCTGCGGGGACTTCGCTTTTGGGCTCCCAGGCTCCTGCTGCCCCAGGCCTTTCCCGCCCTTCCATAGGAGGTAACATGGCCCCTGGGAAGCTGTCGTGTTCTTACTGGACACACACTGGGAGGTGGGCAGAGGGGTCTGAGCAGGTGGCATGTCTGCGGCAGAGAGCACGTCCATGTGGCGGCCAGGAAGGCACAGGCTTGTGGCGCCGTCCTGGAGGAGGATGCCAGAGGCACGGCCTGGCAGCTGCTCCTCTGGATCCACCTGCACTATGAGCTCTATCTCACTGACCACCTGCACTCTCAGGCACAGCTGTCCTGGATTCTCAGCAACACAGACTGTGGACACTGAGGGGTTACTAGTGGTCCCCAGAGCCCCTGATCTCAGATCCACCTGAATGCTTCCCGAATTTGCCTTCATGCTGGTTTCCAGGGTGACTTCCCAAGCAGGAGGCTTCTTCTCCCCCACCTCCAGGGGCTCCAGGGTGTCCTCGGCACTTGCCCACAGGGAGCCTACCTTGAGCTCCTGCAGGACAGGACTCTGCTACTACAGGGGTCTCCCAGGGATGAGGTCTCGCTCTCAGGCCACAGCTCATTCCCAGTCATTGCTGGACTCAGACTCGCCTCTAGGATGGTTTCCCTGGATCCTGGGACCATCTCCCTGTGCCAGGTTCTGCCCCCAGGGCTGCACGTGAGGGGCTGAGACTCCCTGTCTTCCTGTCCAGTCGGAGACACCTCTGATCACCCATGGATGTCAGCTGACTGGGACCCTCTCGGGGCCCTCTGGACTTCCTCCTGCTCAGGTGATGGGGGAGGGAGAGGGCCACTCATGGTGGGGACTGACTTGCTTGTTGTCCAGCTGTCTCCTAGACCATTCTGGGGAGGTTTACCCAAGAAAGTGGCAATCTCAGCTACAGATTCAACCTGAGATTCACAGGAGGCCAAGCGGGGAAAGGTGGAGTGTGGGAGGGGCAGGGGCTGAGCCTCACGTGACCGGACGTTTATGGGCTTCAGGGACCGGAAGTCTGGACCCCACCTGTGCCTCACACGAAACCTTAAAAGATGTGCTTCCAGCATCTGCTGGGTGCAGGGATGGAGGAAGGAAAGCTCCTGGGAGGTGTTCACGTGGACTTTCCCACCTCTCCTGGATGCCAGCTTCCCAGGGTCCTGGTGGGTGTCAGACTTGGGAAAAGCACATTTGGCCATGAACTGGGAGCGATGCACAGGCGTGGGGATCCAGCACTCCTTGATCTCCCCCACCTTCCTGCCCAGATGGACTTGCAGCTTATTCTCCGAATGCTTCTTCTCTGGGTCCCCGGATGCGGAACTTACTGATTGGTTCTTCCAGGGCCTCCTGAAGTCGCCTTCTGCCTCCTGCTTGTCTTCCTCCAGAAGCTTCACTGAGGTCCTTCCTGAGCCTCTGGGTAAATCTGCTGGGATCCTCTCCAGCTCTTGCCCTCGATCCTGGCTTGGGTCTGGCTCTCATTTGGACCTTAAGCACCCCTTCCCAGAGAACCTTCCAGAGCTCCTGAATCCTGTCTTCTGCCTATCTTCGCAGAAGTGGGCATGGTGACAGGGTGGAGGCCAGGAGGAGCCGGTGGGGACAAGCTGGTGAGAGACGGGTCTTGCATACATTTCCCATGCCCCTGGGGAGCCGGCGCAGGCGCTGGTTTGCAGACGTCACCCAAGGGGTCTCCACCTAAGGATGGATGGGAGTTGCCCTCACCTGCGAGCTTCCTCAGGTGGCTGCAGGAGACAGCAGGCACAAGCTGCAGCCAGGGGCAGGGGGTCCAGAGGCTGGGACAGTTGGCACCTGGGTCCCACAGCCCTCCGCCTCCCCCACGGCTGGCTTCACAAAGCTCTGCCTATGTCCACCCCAGGGCTTCAGTCCCCTCCTGTCCCCTTCCCAGGGCCTCCCCTCCCAAGTCTCCACCAGGCCCTAGGGTTACCTCAGAGGCCCTGATAAGAAGGAGGACATGGGAAAAAGGGGACGCTCCTCACCTTTCCAGAAGATAGGACAGGTCCCGAGTCTCCTCCAGCTCCCTCAGGAGGGTTTGCTAGCTGGAAGTCAGGAGGCAGGGTTATGTGGGGAGGCCGGTGGATGCCTCCTTAGGGCCACCGTGGGGGATTAGACCCTGAAGCCCACGCATCTGTGTCCAAGACCACCTGACCCCGATGGTGACAGCAAGGTGTGCACCATGCAGCACTTTGTCATTTGCAGACAGGGCTTCCACGGACACCCCCTCATGGGTGTCACACCATCTTGTGGGGAGAGTGGACTGGTGTGGTCTCTAAGAGGAGTCAGCCATAGCCACGGTGAACAGCTGTCCACATGGACCTGGAGCCTCCTTGACCTCCCCCGCTACCCAGGCAGGGACTGGTCCATTCCCCACCTTCTTATGGGCCATATCAGGTCTGGCCCCCATGGCTTCATTCCAGCAGGGAATCTGAGGAGGCCCCGGGGTCTGACTTCCCTTCCAGCAGCTTCCCTCTCAGGCCTCTGCAAATGACTTCCTAAGGGCCAGGTGATCTCAGTCACCTCTGGGGAGTCCCAGGGACCGGCAAAACCTCACCTTTCAGAGCTGGGATCTTCTTCCTGCTCCTGGATCTTCCCCTTCTCTTCCTCTGATCCTGAGAGGCAAGAAAGGGTGAGGGGCTGGGACCAGTTCTCACTCTCCTCTCCCCGGACCAGCTGCACTCATGCTGTGCTCATGAAGGACTTGGCTTTCTGCCTCTAGCTCAGGGAGCTCCGTGTGCGTTTCTTTTACCCATGGTTACCCTGCATGAAATGTTTTCTGTTTTCCTACTTACAGAACTGCTAGGAGGGTTTTCTGTGTGACTCCACCCTGGACTCCCCAGTCCCTGCTCCTCCGATCAGGGAACACCCAGGCTCCCCTGAGCTGCCAATAGGATTCTGCTTCTGAGTCCAGAGGTGAGTCCAGGCTCTGTGGGAGGCTCTCAGGGGCTCAGCACAGCTCCAGATCACCCCACACAGAGGAGGCTGGGCCCCAGCACCTGCCCCAGGAAGGGCTGATGAGCCAGGGCTTGGGCCTGTTTCCCACAGAGCCCTCGCCCCTCTCCTGAGCCTGTCCTCGCCACTGAGCCCAGTGTTGGTTTGTGCCCTGAAGCCCACCCCACAGATGGTCTGGGAGCTGGGCATGGAATCCTCTGCGCACTCTCACCCCGCCTGCACTGCCCTGCCCTGAGGGACCATGAGATTTCCCATCACAAGAGGTAGCGCCATCACCAGTATTTTTCTTGGAAGGGCAGGAAGTAAAACCACATCTGAGTAACACTCAAGAAAATATTGTTTATGTCCAAGATGATGAATTAATCTTCTTTTTTTTGAGACAGAGTCTCACTCTGTCACCCAGGTTGGAGTGCAGGGGCGCAATTGCACCTCACAGCATCCTTGACCTCTCAGACTCAAGCCACCCTCCCACTCAGTCTCCCGAGTCACTGGGACTACAGGTGCACCATGTCTGGCTAAATTTTTTTTTTGTAGAGACGGGGCTCATTATGTTTCCCAGGCTGCATCTTTATTCTTTTATCCCATCCTCAACCAAGGTCATATTACTGTAATAGAAGTGAAACACCACAGCTGCGTGTGCCTCAGCAGGCAGGGGCTGCCAGTGTTCTTCGTATGGCTGAGTATGTGAAAGCAACCTTGACAGCTGTTCCACAGGTGACCTCAGGGTCCCTGAGACTGGCTCTTGGAGGTGATCCAGCAGGGTTCTAGTAGCTGAGCTCGTCCAGCAAGTTCACACTGGCACTGAAAATGACTTCTGGGCTTGGGGTTTTTCTTATTCCAAATTTGGGCCCAGCCCCAGGGTGGACTGAACCGACACATGAAGGACAACCTTCTGCACCCACAGCTGACCCCGGGAGACATGCTGTCCCCACAGGGCAGGGAAGCTGGAACACAGCCACACCCTTTGCAGGCCACACCCACTTTTGCTGAGCACAAAATTCCCTCCAGCTGGGCAGACACAGGAAAAGCAAAACAAATCAGTAGAGCACGTGGCACATCAGCAGGGAGTTCTACGGAGGAAAGCGGAGCAGGAGAAAGACAGGACGGGGGACACAGAGTGTGAGCTGGGGCGCAGGGGCAGTGTTCGAGAGAGTGATGGCAAAAGTTGTGGAAAGGCTGACATTGGGATGTGGTTCTGAAAACAGTGAGGATGGTGGGTGGCTGTGTGTGGAAAGGGCACATCAGGCCTGCCTCGGTCTCCCAAAGTGCTGGGATTACGGGCTGAGCCACCATGCCTGGCCCTCATTTATTAATTTTATGGCATGTTTTAAACATAGTGCTACCTGTATTTCAAAGCAACATTTCCTGTCACCATTTTTTAAAGAATATAGAAATTTGTTTCATAAATAAAAAGAAAAATTCACTTGAAAGCAGAAACCCAGCTATAAGTATACGAGCATTTTATGACATATATTTTTTTAAAAGCATTCCAGGCTGCTACTGGAAAGTGAACAGGTAAAGAATTGAGGATATAGACCTTGATATCTTCTTGAGGAATTCTGCAAGGGCTCGTAATTGATCGCCCTGCAGAAGAAGGAAACTCTCTCTTGGCTGGTGGTGATGCCACAATCCAAGGTTTTCCCTGCCTGGAAAGATGCTGAAGATCTTAGTGGAATAAGGAGGACTGAGAGTCTATTCCTAGCTCTCCAACAGCCTGGAGGAGCTGCTGCTGTTAGGCCCATGGCTTCTCCCAGTGGCTGGAAGGCTCCTGCCCCAGAGTTCCAGGGACGCTCTGGCACAGGTGGTAGTTAAAAGTGAAGGCTCGGTGTGCAGGCTGGACGGTCGCCCATCTGCAATGAGCAGGCCTGTGGGAAAGGAGGAAGCCATCCCTGGACTGCAGGATGGGATGGATCAGGGAGGGGCATTTTGATGATGGCATTGTGATACTCGATCATTCAACATGGGCTTTGAATTATGAAACTTCAGAGGGGTGTGGAATATGTGCAAATGTGTGTGTGTGTGTGTGTGTGTGTGTATGCACTATATATGAGATATATTAATATATATACAATTGTGTATGTATACAATTTCTGCTTTTCATATATTATACATGAAATATCATATATATTATCATTTATATCATATACACTAACATGTATGAAAAGCAGAAATTGTTCTAAGCTTTTTCCTGTTTTTCTTTGTTGAGGTATTTCTTTGGATAACCTTTAATCTTGATATAATTTCACAATTGTGGAAAGTATAAGAATAATACAAAGACCTACTCTACTTTGCCCTATTTACTTTGTCATTCTCTCTCTCTCTCTCTCTCTATGTGTATATATATATATACACACACACACACACATCACACATATATATTTACATTTTGTGTGTGTGTGTATATATATATATATAACATATATGTGTAATAACCTACAGATACTCTGCCCTGTTGCCCCTCAAATACTTGATAACAAGGACATCTCTTGCATGACGACAGTACAAGATAAAAACCTGGAAATTCAACATTGACGTGACACTGTGACTTAAAGCTTAGTCCATATTCAAATTTTGTCAATTGCCCCAATAATATCCTTCATAACTATCCTCTAATGTGAAGATGTTCCTTAGGCTGTCTTTGTCTTTTATGATCTTGAAAGTTTGAAGAGACCTGTAATTCCAGCACTTTGGGAGGCTGAGGTGGGCAGATCACGAGGTCAGGAGTTCAAGACCAGACTGGCCGATGTGATGAAACAAACCCCCGTCTCTACTAAAAAATACAAAAATTAGCTGGGCATGGTGGCTCGTACCTGTAATCCCAGCTGCTTGGGAGGCCGAGGTAGGAGAATTGCTTGAACCAGTACCCGGGAGGCGGAGGTTGCAGTGAGCTGAGATCGCGCCGCTGCACTCCAGCCCGGGCTACAGAGTGAGACTCCATCTCAAAAATAAAAAATAAAAAAAGAAAGAAAGTTGGAAGAATACAGACCAATTATTTTGTTTGAGTTAGTCTGGCCTGTCTACATGATCCACGTTAAGGTGTTTGGGGAGGAATATCAGAAAACTGGCGTTCTCCTGAGCGCACCCTGTAGGGAAGCACTTAACTCTCATGCCATGTGCCTCAGGGCCCTTGGGTCAGTTTGCCTCATTTTGGTAATACGAACTTTGACTGTTGGGTTAAGGAGATGTTAACCAGGTTTCCCCAGTGTAAGTTTCCTTTTTTGTCCATTTGTAGCTAATAAGCTGTTTTATGGGAAAATATCTCAAGGCTAACATACCCTGGCTTCTGTCAAACTCACCCACTGCTCTTTCTAACGTGAATTATGCGTTTCTATGGTGTTTGCCATGCAGAGCCCTGCAGGCATCATTGCTTCTGCAGTCAGGAATTGGTATTCTCTGCAAGGAACAATTTTTCCTTTTCTCTTTTTTATTATTTGTTCATTAGTTTACCTAATCATGTACTCATAGGCTCCTATTTTATTTTATTTATTTTGATGCTTAATTGTCTCCTGTCTTAGCCCACTCCTGCTGCTATAAGAAGATACCATGGACTGGGTCATTTACACAGTAACATTTTATTTCTCACAGTTCCACACACTGGAATTCTATGATCGAGGTACTGGCAAGGTAGACATCATTCAGAGGCCTCTTCTTTTGACTTGTAGATGGAAACTGTCTTGCTTGTGTGCTCATGTGACCTCTTCTTTGTGTTTGTAGGGAGAGAGATTGAGAGAGAGTGGATGGCAAGCTCTCTGGTGTCTCTTGTTATAAGGA